TGTAAACACATCTTTTCGCAACGTGCTCATAAAATAAACAGCAGAATTGATCCATTAGTTTCGAGTCATCAGACAACTGGCTTTTTGCGAGAAAGCAGTCAAAACTCAAAATAAGTAGTATTTTACTTATCTACTCACATTGCATAGCTAGAGTGATAAAGGGTCGGCCACTGGTCAGAGGTTTCAGATTCCAGTGCTCTTTACTTTGATCACCAATCTGATACTTGTAAAATCATAAAACCAATTCAGTATAAATATTTATAAACTTTAGTTCTGTCGTTACCATGTTTTTATCTTTTTGATTTGTTTTGTTTTAATATTTAAGTTTAGGTCGAATAGGTTTAGGAAGATGTGTTGCGCCCGCTTGCTTAATTTAAAAATCAACATCCGACATCCTGTATTTTATCTAGATTCGAACTTCGATCACTAGCTTTTTATCAGATACGCAATTATCATGTACCTCCGCTAAACTCAGCTTAGTATTAAATAATGCCAAATATAGAAATATAGAATTTTAAAACTATGTTACATCAATTTTTTAAGTCAAAATTACCCTGCGTGGCTTGAAAATCAGTAATGAAGATACTGGTTTTGACCGGAACTCGAACACCGACCACTGTTGCTGATAACAAACGCCCTGCTATGTCATACATCCCACAGAATCAAAGTGCTGTTGATTTAGAATCTTTCTAAATTTATGAGACGAATTATTATAATAGCATGATCACTGGATTTTCACTTTGGTTCCTGCTGCGAAATTCGTCTCGCCAGGTCGTGTCCAATCATTTTTGCCATCTATATAATAAATGGAAATGTCAGTGTGTCACTGTGTCACACTTTTTCAGTTTTACTCCTAGACGCCGTAGCCCAACATATCATACCATTTTGGAATCAGGCGGGTTCTGTGAGCAAATCAAAACCATTCCGGAACGGATCCGGACCTGCAATTCTGACATTTGGATTCCCAAGTTTTCTTTACTGTAATTGTTTTCGGATTCCGCCATCTTGGCTTCTACTGAAACAATTAAAGAGACACAACTCTTTAACTTTCAATAGCTTATGTTTTCGGCATTTTTACGTGCTTTTTGCGGCGACATTTTTGTACGATAACAATTTTTATAACTTGGAAATAATCGAAATTAATTGCGAAATCCAGCGAAAGTCACCCATGAAATAAAAATAATTGTTTGTACAGAAAGTAAGGACCTACGTACATCAAATTGTCGTTAATATTAATGCAATACTTAAACGCAGCGTTTAATTTTGAGTTCTTCTGTAGTTTATTGTTGCCTGTCGCATCTACTCTTCTCAATCTATTGTGATGAAGAACCAATCAGGAGCCTTCCACGCGTTTTAGCTTAAATGCCGCCTAATAGTGCGGGGTTTAGGATAGCATCTAATAAATTTAGACTTTAGTTCCTAGTCGTCTTACGAAGTCTGCTGTTTTAGCTGTTTTTTTTTTATGATCAATGCATTTAACCCTTTTTTCTTAACTGTAAGTTCATCTCGTTCTGTCATATCCATTGTTAATTTTGTCATATCCTATGCATTTGACATTGGTTACCACTGTGAAATTCGTTTCATGCCCAATGATTTTATTATGTACAGCGCATTTAGACGTTTATTCCTGTTGCTTAGATCACCATGACATTTCCAGTGTTATTTTTTTGTTTTTTGGGTTTTTTTTTTTTTTTCATGAAATAGCTCCCTTGTATTGTCTACGACCACCTCCTTACCCCACAAAGTGCTGTAATTCGGCATGGTATCCATTTCACGTGATCTTCCACGCCATTCATCGAAAGTTTCCAAAATACTCCTCGAAACACTTCTGGGCATCGTGAGAACAATGACACGTTGAATTATCCTGCTAGAACAACCCATCTTTGTTGGAGTAGATATTGTCCACAAACGGATGCAAATGGTCATGAAGTAGTGTAATGTAGCGGTCACTGGTCAATAACTTATCAGGAGAACCAGAGGAACCAACCAACGTAAAAACGGCACACAGCATTATGGAAGTACAACCAGCCTGTATAGCGCCTTATTAACAACTCTGGGAAAAGTTTACCATTCGTGTCCGAAATAAAAGGTATGTCAAAAGGACGGTTATTCCCTTTACACCGCTATTAGTGTATAGACTTTTGACTCTCTTGGCAAAGTTTATTGTTCTAAAAAGCGATGATTAGAATTTTAATAAAACCCCAATATATGAAAATGGATTTATACATATTTTTTATTCTTGAGAATTGACAACAAAGATATTAAACACTATTTAATAGATTGAATAAACAAACTTGTTTTCATGGCTAAATAATAAATATTGCATTGTAATTGGTTTACATATTTTAGCAACCACTTGCGCAGCTCGACGTGGTGTAATGATGAGTAAGTTTTTCTTGCTAGAACTATTACGACTGAGTAGTGAGTTCAAACCTCACTGGAGGCTTCACACTTTCGACCTGATGCCGCATCTATGCTATGCTTAGAAAATTGCCTATTTTATTAATAATAAAAAGATTAGTTTCAAATGTATTTCTTTATAAAATAATAAATATCTCATTGTACTTGGTTCACATTTTATAATCTGGTAAGTAAATATCGCTGAAGATGTCAAAATAAGGGCGTCAAGGGAATAACCGTCTTTTGCCATACCCTTTTTCTTTTTTGCAGGCACAAAGGTTAAACATTGCCAAACATTATTCTATGGCCTCATGGGGTCTGCACCACACACTAATCCTATCATCAGACTAAAACAACTAGAACCGTGACTGATCGGATCATACCACACGTTTCTAATCCTCCAGGGTCCATTTAGCGACGACAGGAGCCCATGTGAGGTGCTCTATCCGGTGTCGTCGTGCTAAAAATGACATCTTACTAGGTTTTCTGCTCCCATATCCTTTCTTTTTATGTGCCATGTCCTTTCAGGCCGTAGGCGATCATAGCTCTCCACCTCCTTCTATCCCTTGCAGCTCTCAACAAGTTCCTTCTCTCTGTCACCGCCCAGACCACGTTCTGTCATCCACTTGCTTAAGCCCGCCAGGTATGTCAGCGTTGTCTCTCTTTCTCCCTATTCGACCTGTGAGTATCAGATTCTCCAGGCCCTCCTTCCTTATTATGTATCCCAGAAACTTCAGCTGCCTCTTCCTGATAGTAAGTATAAGCCTCCTCCTTGTTTGCATCCTCTCTAAGACCTCATCTTTGCTCACACGCTCGATCCATGGTATCCTTAGCATCCTTCTGTAGAACCATACCTCCGCTGCTTCGAGACTCTTCTTGGAAGCTAAAAAACAATAAATTAACTTTCAATTTGAACACATTTTTGTAATACTGATTATACAATTAGAATCACTTTGTAAATATGGCTTTATATTTTTCATAGAAATAGTTATACTAGATAATTACAGTTTTTATACAATAGTTATACTAGAAATAGTTATATTAGATAACTACAATTTTTTATGCAATATCTCAGATAGTAAAGATTTACAAAAACACGGCATTCCACAGATAAACACATTTGAGTTTGGATATTATTAATTCCAAGTTTCATCAATTAATAAACGAGAGTTATTTTGGCATTCATTTCAGTTTGAAGAAATATGCAAAAATGTCAGTTATGTCTAGGTTTATTGTACATAAAATACAATTGTGGCACATAGCCGAAAATGGAGAGATTGGCTGAAGTTGGCCATCACTTATTATCTTATACCTAGCTAATTAGATTTACAACCCATTCACTCATTACAATTTGTACATCCACCAAAAGAACTTATCCATCATCATTCAATTCTCCATATACCACAATACTGAATACTCTCAGGGGACCTACAAAAACACCTCATAACATAAAAATTAACGATTATAGAATTCTATATATAGAAATCTGTCGATGATACGTAGCGTAATAAGAGGGAGGGGAATGAACCCCAAAACAAACTAAAATATTGGAACAAATACACAAAACGAAAGAATAACTGATGTTAGTTGGACCCGTCAAATCCTCAAAAGAATTAAGAGAAGCCATTGTATTTTGTCTTTAGACAAAATCAAAGTTAATAAAAAAAATATTGCTGAGACTGAGAGGGGAAGGATAAAATAAATATGACCATCGGAAAAGAAAAAAGCTGACCCAGTCGAGATGAAAAAAGTGGAGACAAAAACAAACTGAGGAGGTTGGGAATCTCGACTTGGATCATAAATAAAGAAGAAGCCGGGAACAGGCCAAGAAGGACACTTACTCACAGTAACTAGGTGCACAAAAATGGTCTAGCCTAACCAGTAGAGAGTTCCACAAGAAAACTCCCCGATGTGACTTAGGGTTCCTAAAAACCGAAAATCAAGGCTAGCCCCGTTCAAGCGAACCAGGCTCGCCACGGTCACCCACCTTTCGTTAACATCTGTCGGAACCAATCGCTTTCTATCAGTTCTAATCTTCATCTTTAGCTGATGCTCGAAGAAACTGATTAGAGCCTGATGAGAATAACAGTGACCTCACAAGACTTCCTTTAATCACGTCGTCCAAATCACTATTCAGGCCGTGGCCAGCAGCGATAGAATCACCATCCGTTTCACCCCAGAATACCGAGGCGATACATTGTCACACGCGTATGCGTGATCACTGAGTACGAGCATTTCGGGAGCGACACGAGCCCCGTCAACTTGCCGACAAAGTCCCAAAGGGGGCGGACACGACGGCAATGTCAATTATGTCATATGCAATGTTTTGTCATATCTATATATATTTGTAGTTGCTGCTAAGTCATGTCTAATGGTGTTGTCACATCCAGTAGAGTTAAACGTTAGATAGTTCTTCTAATTAGGATTCCTCATATCCAAAGATTTTTTTTTACATATCCAATGGATTAGACGTTTGACACTGTTGCTAACTACTGTCACGTCATGTACAACGCTTTTGTCTTGTCCAAGAAATTTGTAAGTGTATTGCTGCTGCTAAATATGTCTTGTTATATCTAAAGATTTTTTAACACAGCGAATGGATTAGACGTTTCATTCAGGTGCTAAGTTGCGTCATGTCCAATGTTTTTTACCATGTCCAGTAGATTTAGACGTTGGTTTCTGCATGTAATTTCGTCTCGTCATATCACGTCCTTTGCTTTAGATTTACACGTTGATTACTACTACTATGCCAATCCCACTATGTCCAATATTTTTGACATATTGAAGAGTTTTAGATGCATCTTCATAAAGTCAAGTTTAAAGTTTTTATCACATGAAATGGATATAAATTTATAGTTCGTCTCATCTTTCCCTGTGATTTTGTTATATCCAATGTATGTAGATATTGTTTCCTTCAGTATGTCACATCATGTCCAGAGATTGTTGTCACATCCAATGGATTGAGACGTTGGTTCCTGATGATAAGCTCGTCTCGTCATGCCCAATGATTACTATCAAACCCAATGGATTTGATCCCACTGCTAATTCCATCAAGTTATCCTCAATCTTTTTTTATCACCAAAGGATTTAATCCAGACCCGCATAAAATATACATGAGGCCCCCGAGACTACCTAGTGTGGTTTGCAGGAAACTTTTAAAATAAATTTTTAAAATAAATTTTTAAAATGTAATTTTTTTTTTGTATGTTCATCACAATAAATTCAGGGGCCGATCCCGTACGAAAAATTCATTTTTGTGGAAGCATTATTGAAAATTATTCAAACAATATTTCACTCTCTTTGTATCTCATTAATTTCTCGTCCTCCCTCTCTATAGTAATTTCCCAAGCATAGCTTAGATGTGGCACAAGGCCAAAAGTATAGGGCACTTAGTGGGGATTGAACTCACTACTCAGTCTTAATTGTTCTAGCAAGACAAGCTTGCTAACCATTACACCCCCTCAAGGTTTTTTTTAGCCTTTTATGTGGCACAAGGCCAAAAGTGTGGGGCACCCAGTGAGGATCGAACTCACTATTCAGTCGTAATTGTTCTAGCGAGACAAGCTTGTTGCCACACCCCCGACTAGGTATGGCATAGCTTCTTGTGGCACAAGGCCAAAGTGTTTTTGAACAACCCTGGTAATTAAACAAACTGATATTTAGTCATAATTGCTCTTATCTTCTGGACAAACTTGCTTGACCTTTGCAGCCCCACCACAAAGTTGTAGACCAGATGTGGCACAAGGCCAAATCTTGGGGGTTCCCAGCGAGGATCATACTTTAATTTCAGTCGTTTATGATCCAACGAGACATGCTTTGTCCAATTTAACCACGCTGAAGTGCCCAAATCTATGATGCTGATTTTCAAGAAATTAAGACTAGATTTTGACACAAGGCCGAACGTATAGGGTACCCAGTGAGGATCGAACTCACTACTCAGTCGTAATTGTTCTCGCGCAACAAGTTTGCTAAACATTGCACCACATCCAGACGCCCCGTTCTCCCTTCTCTCTATATTTGTTTCTATGTCACACTGGAAATTTATTCATTGGTTTCATCCAGACTAGAGTCGAATCAATTTCAAATTTGTAACAATTTAGTAATATTTGAAGAAACCCTTTGAAATCTTTCTCGTTACTGATGGAAATTGGTGGGTTAGGGTACGAAAAGAACTGGTATTCGCTCGTCCATCGATTGACAAAAATGTGTGATCGATTGATTAAATTATTGATTTTGTTCATCTCTACTCGGTCAGATTTATTCTCTCCCCATGACCGTATTTATTTTATCCTTTCCATCTCCCTTAGCCAGAGAGCCTCTTGATTTTGTCTAAAGTCAAAATACAGCGGCCTCTCTTTTGAGGGTTGGACGAGTCTAACATCAGTTATCTTTATTTTGCTTGTTTTGATATTTTAGTTTGTTTTGTCTGTTTCTCGCTCATTGTAATTTAGCCATAGATTTTTATATATAAAATGTTTATGATCATGAAATTTTTATGTCATGAGGTGTGTTTTGTAGGTCCCCTGAGTGTATGAGGTATTATGGTATACGGAGGATTGAATGATAACGAATAAGTTCTCTTGGTGAATGTGCGAATTGTAACGAGTGAAAGGGTCGTAAATCTGATTAGCTAGGTATAGGACAGTAAGTGACGACCAGCCTCAACCCAATCCCCCCCTCTTTTCGGCCTTGTGCCAGAATTGTATTCTATATACAATAAATCTTGATTAATTTATTTTTTTATTAATCTTTTGCAGGTTATTTTAAGTCGGAAAATATTTTTTAGATTTTACGTAATTTGGGGAGATAATAATAATTTACTAATACAAATCCTACTAATTAACCCATAGCTGGGGAAGAAGAGGTGGGTTCTTATATTTCCCAAATGTATTTGCGAGTAAGTGAATATAACGAACCTGACTGGAATTGGAACACGGTTCTCAGATTTTCAATTTTAAGCCTTTATCCATTGCACTCACATCCAAGTTTACAGCATCTGGTATTTTCAAGCAGTCACCCATCTAAGTACTGACCAGGCACAACGTTGCTTATCTTCAGTGATCATACGAGAATCGATGTTTCAACGTGATATAGCCGTAAGACGAAAGTCTGTGTGAGGAGAAGTTTGAGAAAATCTAGCATCCTAAAATTGTCTCGAAAAATGATGATGATGGAGTGGGTGAACTCAGTACTGAAAAAGCCCTCATTTTTAGCAACGCCTGTATTTATTGCTGTCACAAATAGGCCAAGTAAGGTCATCGACATCCAGCATTTGATCCAACTAATTACAGTGTAACCCGGATATAAGAGACCCGGATATAAGAGAAACCCGGATATAAGAGAGATTTTCTCTGGTCCCAAATTGCAGACTGTGTTAATGTATATAAATTAGACCAAACCCGGATATAAGAGAAACCCGGATATAAGAGAAACCCGGATATAAGAGACTTCTTCTCCGATCCCTACAACTCTCTTATATCCGGGTTACACTGTATTTTGTTGGCGGCTACGCTTTGCATAATATCTGGTTGAGAGGAAACTTCTCACGGTTTATAGAACATTAAATTTATTTAGAAACGAGAACTTTCAATTTGTTCTGGAGTGATTTCACAGTGGAGGCTTGTTTTTGTACTAAGTCGGTCCTAAAATAGGTTCGACGTACAAAACGTTAGGAACTTGATATAATAGGTATAACGCAGAGTAATCTAGTTGTGGTCGCTGATGATTTAGTCTTCGACTAACTGTCGTCCGACATCGACGGACTGACCGTCTCACTGAGCGACTCCCTCGTTACTCTTACTACTCCTATTTATTATAGGTGGGAGAGTCTGTTAACTAAAGAATAGGTGTGTTCCACTATAACACATTCTAACCAAATAGTATACCGAAAGATTTAGTTTGGGTTGTCCCCGAAATTTGCCGCAGATGGACAAAAAATCAAAAAAGAAATGTAATCATTTGTATATATAAAAGGAAAAGTTTGGTTGTCATCTATAACAGGGGTCGGCACCCTACGGCACGCGTGCCACACCAAGCAATTTCCAATGGCACGCAGCCCCAAATGACATCACGAAGTCAGACCTAATAATTGCTACTACAACGCAAAGATATTTAGCTGTTTCAAAATTGCTCATTAGTTGGACCCCCATTAATAATAAAAACCGTTTATTTCTATATTATTGTAGTTTAAGATATGTTTGTGTCTATACATACTTTTATTTAAGTACAGATTTTCCAAGCGTAGCTTAGATGTTGCACAAGGCCGAAAGTATGGGGCATCCAGTGAGGAACGAACTCACTTTTCAGTAGTATCTGATCTAGCAAGACAAGCTTGCTAACCATTACACCACGCCGAGGTGTCCAAAATGCTTATGTAAATGCTCTGTTTTATAATAAACAGTATTTATAACATTTAGCGGCCTGAATGCTCGAGAAATTTTCATAGAAAATATTCGTCCTCGGTTAAGAGCACGCCAGTCTAAATGGTGGTTCCGTATAAGATACAGGTTTGATTCCTGTCGGAGGACGAATATTTTCTATGAAAATTTCTCGGACATTCAGGCCGGTAAATGTTATTAATGCTGGTTATTATAAAACAGCATTTACTTAAATATTTGTATCTATAAAAAGAATGTATAAACATAAAAATGTCTTAAAATAATTGTCGGGCTTTGTCTATTTCATAATATTATTGTATATATTACTATATAAAATATATTGTAGAAGAGGTATATCGACCTTGACGTGTATAAAAATACGTATGCTGTTGGCACACTGAATGATTTTAAAACCCTAAGTCGGCACATAGTTAGTTAAAGGTTGACGACCCCTGAGCTATAGAAATCTACATATGTCAAGGGTTACCATCTTTCTAATAGCTTCGTCATAAAGAAGGCCATTTGACAGTTGACAAACTGTCGAAATTTTATCACAATAGCTATAAGCACTTAGTTCAACACCACAATATCTGATTATTTCTTTAACTTGCCAATCATTAATTCAAAAGCTTCCACTGCATCTTCCCAGCAATTCTCTCTCAGCCTTTCTGCAGTTCATTTCACTTTCAAGGGTACCAGATTGTAGTGTAAGGCAGGACCAGCGCTAAATACCTCGGCTATCCTAACCCGAGGTAGAAGGTTCATGCTCTTTGGTGGACCCCGGAAGGGAAAACTTCAGCAGCGCTCTGAGGACCTCAGCTACTTTTATCGCATATATTTTTTCCTACCTAAGTTTAAATGTCAGTCACCAGCCACAATAGTATGAATCGTGTATCTCTTTAAACTCACTGAATATACGCAACGATTTTATTATTTTTCTTTATTTTGAAATATTATATTTCATTTGACACAAGGCAAAACGTGGGTGGGGATAGGGTTGGTCGTCATTGACTATCATACACCTAGTTAATTTGGTTCACGACCCATTCATTCATTCATTAAAATTTACACATATACCACAAGAACTCATTCATCGCCATTCAAGCCAACACATACTATAATCTCTCATATTCACAGAGATCCTACTAAAATATTCATGACATGAAATTATATCTAATTGTTTGCTTGTTTTTCCTTTTATTGTATATAAAATTATGGGTAAATTTTCATATTAAGCCACGAAAACCAATTGTAATGAAAATTTCCACTCTGGTGTAAATTTGCATTCTTATTTCGAAAATAACAATAAAAGTTTGCGGAAGAAAACCGTTTGGGAGTTATCGACAATATAAGTTCGGCCTTATTCACGTCGCGGTTACAGCCCGGCCGCCATTATTGGTTTTGTTTATATACGTTTGCCTCAAGTAGTCATGTGCTTCTACACATGACTACTCGTCTTGATTATTGTGCACGCTATGCGCGAACTTTAATTTAAATTGAATGTGCGAAATTTTAAAGATAACCCAACAGGAAAAGCCTCACTATTCCAAAAATATCATTAAAAGAAAGAAAAATCTCAAAGAAAAAGAAAAAATTACAAGCTAAAGACAAAATTAAAATTACAAGATAAAACAAAAAAATGCTTCTTTTCCGAGTAAACGAAGCATTTATCAACCAAAAAAATTATGCTAGAAACGACTTAATAATAACAAACATTTTTACGACACAAACTCTGTTTTTATTAAATTTAGTGTTTGTAAAAACATGATTATTAAAAAAAAATAGCAATGACGATTGAGGAAAAGCTACATTTGAAAATAAATTTCGCGAATTGCGTAGTAATCGAGACGAGTAAGAAGAAAGGAAAATCAGTAAAAAAGCCGTTAACTAAGTAAGCTTCCGCGCATAATTATTCGAGGCAAACGTATGAAAACAGCGGCAGTAATGGAGGCCGGACTAGACACGATTATTCGTGTCTAGTCTGGCCGCCATTACTACCAAAATAAGATTGTCGATATCTGCTAAACGGTGCATTTCCGAAAACTTTTATTGTTATTTTCGAAATAATGACGCAAAAATGGAAATTTTCATTACAATTGATTTCCGGGGCTTAATCTGCAAATTTACCAAATTATGTAATGATTTAATGTTATTTAAGATCAATTTATAAATGTCTCTAAATAAATAGTAATTATAATAGCTAGTATTCTGTGATCAATGTAGCCATTCATATTTTTTAACTTTGCTTAAGACATTAGTTAATGCTTCTAACGTTCAATTATTTTATATACGGTAGATTTCAAAGTTGATGCCAGCTACTTGGTTCATCTCATATTACTTTTAACATCTGTTTAAGCCTCCACTTTTAAAATTTTTTTAGCCTCCCCACTTTTAACATCTTATTTGGCCCCAGGCCAATGTTTTTATCCCATTCATTGGATTTAGATGATTGTTCCTGTTATTACGTTTGACGTGTCATGTCATGTTCAAATGATTTTCATCATGTCTAAAAGATTATTTGTTTGGTTCACTTGCTAAGTTCGTCTCGTCATTTCCAATGGTTTTTGTCCGACCCGAAGATTTTAAACATTGGTTCCAACTGTTAATTTTGTCTTGCCATTTCCACTCTTTTTGTTATATCCAATGTATTTAGGCACTATTTCTTACTTCAATCTTCGTCTCGTCTACTGTGAGTTCAGTCCATGTCTTCAGGAGAAATCCTACTCATTAGAGATGAAAATCGGTGCTAAAATTGTAGGTAATTAGAACTTAGAAGCTCGAATCACTTAAGAAAATAGCAACAAAATACATTATTTAGATCCAAACACTTAATTTTCAAGCAGATTTCAAAATATGACTTGAAATGACTTGGATAATTCCTAGCATGGAAAGAAAACATTTTAAGCCCATGTATAACCGTATTTGATGACATAAGATCCACCATATTTACATTTAATATTACACTATTTAAATCATTTACGCGGTTTTGTGGTGGATGACTTATTTGTCACTCTGAAGCCTCTTTCACACAGACGTGACGCAAGTCTGTCGCCATTTCTATCACAAATGTTCAAATGAGTTCCAGCAAACATGGAAAAGAAAAGAAATGTGAAAAGAACAGTTTTTCCCATGACACCGCTACTATTTTCACTACCTTCACTCTTCTGCAATGTTTATTGTTTTAAAAGCGATGATTAGAATTGTAACAACATCTAAACATATGATGAAAGTGAATATAAATTTTCTTTGTTTTTGAGAATTAACAAAAAAATACTAAACCTATTTATTTATTAGATTGTTTATTTACACTATTTACTGATATTGTTTATTAAAATAGTTGGCAAAAACATCGCGTAGTTGCCAATTGATTCGGACATTATAAATTAGTAAATCGTTCGGACTTTTTTATAGGTAGCTCACATGTTTTAATAATTTAGTAAATATTTATAAAATTATGAGAAAAAAATTGTTTTCATATTTACTTCTTTATAAAATGGTAAAGGATAAATATTGCACTGCATTAATTTTAATTGTATTAGTTTTTAGAATGTTATAAATATAAAATTATTCTTGTAAATAAACAATCGAATAAATACATAGTTTATAATATTTTTCTTGTCATTTCTCAAGAACAAAAGAAAATGTATAAATTCACTTTCATCATATGTTCAGGTTTAAAACAACAAACATTATCGAAGAGTGGACGTAATTAAAATAAAAGCG